ATACTAATACGCAGCCAATATCTCAATACTAGACATGCTAATAAGCAACTAGTTAATAGTGAGAATTGATCTCTAACAGGTTACCAAATGTATTAATTTTTATTGACTGAGATGATTCTGCACTGTAAAACCCAACTGTCAACTTTATCAAATGAAATGAGTGTAGTTAACTAAAAAATGACTGAAAGTTAGTTCTATTCATTTGAAAAGAGTTTTGAACTCAGTGTTGAAGATAATGAGTTAATTAAATGCCTCAGTACTTCAACTTAAATGGAGTAAGTTCACAGTACTTGTATAGATTAGTGTTTTAACTCAAATGGTATGTTGCAATTGGTTTCCTCAAACGGTTTGAGTTGCCATAACTTATTGGGTTTTACAGTACTCAGTTGGTTTGAGTTCACTTCATTTATTGGGTTTTACTGTGCTCAAATTGCTTTGTTTACTCAAATGGATTAAGTTCACAGTATTCATTAGGCTTAGTTTTTTTAACTTAAATGGTTTCTTGCAATCGGTTTCCTCAAATTATTTGAGTTACCTTAAGTTTTTGGGTTTTACTGTGTGTAGGGGAGTGAATTATGCATAACATGTAATAAACCATGTAATAAACTACAAGCATGGATTAATACAACAAAGCAGCAATAAAAGTGAAATAAACAGTGCATGCATTATGGTTTATATATATATATATATATATATATATATATATATATATATATATATATATATGTGTGTGTGTGTGTGTGTGTGTGTGTGTGTGTGTGTGTGTAAAAATGACAAAGTCAATTCAACGTTGCATATCATTACTATGTAACTATTGTGGATCCATACATTGTGATATATCAATGCTGAAACAATATATCTTTCAGCCCTAGCCATAATGCTAACTGACTGTGACAGATAGAAAACAATTGCTGTGTGAAATTTGATTTTCAAGCTGGATTTCATCACTAGATGTGTTACTATCATGTGACGATTGCACACTGTAAAGTCTGTCGCTGGAAAATAATTGGCAAAAAATGTTTTATGCTTAGCAAGGCTGCATTTATTTCAGTAAAAAAAAAAAATACTGAAATCATATGTTAAAATATTATTACAATTTAAAATCAATCTTTTCTACTCCAGTACTTTATGGTATTATTTAAATGTTATTTCTAAAACAGTAAAGCTGTTCTAGAGTCACATGATCATTCTCAAGTAACATTTTTTTCTTCTTTAATAGAACGATACGAGTTAATATGAGTTTAACCAACACGATTCTTAAATTTTTGGGGGGACATCTTGATTGTCTTTTGTTCAATCCACTTAAATTGTTAAAACGCTTAAGTTAACTTGACCGATTTATGTTGGGACAACATAAAAGAATTGTTTGGAATCCAGCATTTTTTGCATCATTGCTGATAAACCTAATTTATTAAAAACAAATATTATAGGAAACTTTCCAAGAAAATATTTTGTTGTCAAAAAATGTCTCAGCTCTATTTCCTTCAAATAAAGATCCTCAAAGGAACAAAGTTGTTTATAAGTTAGCAGTATTGTATTTACATTCCTTTTGGATGATGTGATGTTTCTAACTTACAAAGTCCATTCAGCAGAGCAGTTAAACCAGTTCTAAAAAAACAAGCTAGATATAGATCTTATTTTATAGGAAGAAGTCATTTAAGGACAGCTCTTTAATTCTCTGTATAATGTTTGAGGAATAGTGGTGTTTGTATGTCTTTCTTAGGGCTTTTTTTGCTTGTGGGTACAGGAACACAAAGCACAAACACATATGGTTATATGATTGTCTACTGTCTGATCCGTTCTTTTCAGAAATCATGACAGATAAAATGTTTCTGTACTTGTTTGAATTAGAGTTGCAGATATCTTTTTATTTCTTCATACAAGCACTCATCTCATTTGTTTTCTAATGTGAAACAAATGGCAGAGTCAGTGTTACCACCTTAATATGCAAAAGCTAAATAATTTAGAAAATTCAAGGCATTAATGTGAGTTAAGCATAGAGAATTAGAACAAATATGAGTAATTGCAAGCTTTTAAAGGGATAGTTCACCCAAAAATGAATATTTACTCATCGTTCACTTGTTCCAAACTATGGCTATACAATATATCATTTGAGCATTGATATTGCAATGTGTGTGTTCGCAATAGTCACATCACAAGACATGCAGTGTTGAGTTGGAATTATAGTTGACCAGAATCTACAGGACAAAATAAATGAGATTTGTGGAGTCACTGCAAAATCTAATTATTATAGAGTGAAAATGTAACATTTTCATGTTTTTAAGGCCTATGTGAACATTTTAAGAGTTTAAAGAATGTTAAAAGAACATAAAGAGCATAAAGAGTAAACTCTCACCCTAAAGTGCTGTTTAAGAAAAAAAAACTGCCTTTATTCTATATATAAATATATATATAATATATATATATATATATATAATTTTTTATTAAATTTTTTATGTGTATTACATGTATACCATAATTTAAATAAAATATATTTATATTTCACTCCCATATAAAATCATCCCAATTAATCTGAAGTAAGGACTTTCCAATTAGAGCTATTTAAGTCATGTGATGAAATTGTATTTATATCGCAATATATATCGCAGGGAAAATAAATATCACAATGTCAAATTTTTCCCAATATGGTGCAGCCCTGTTCCAAACCTTTGAATTTCTTTTGTTGAACACAATAGAAGTATTTTGAAGAAAGCTGGAAACAACCATTCACACTGTAAAAAATAAATTGTTGAGAAAACATAAAAAAATAAGGCAACTTGATGCAGTAAGAACTTTGAGTTGTCTCAACAACTGTTTTTTAGTTCTTCTCAGTAACAATATTTAGTTGAGCTAACATAATATTCTTTGTTCATGCAATATTGATTATAGTATTGTACTAATAAAGATATTCTTGTCACATCAATTAAAGCAACAGTAACTGCTATTGAGTCAATTAATTTTTTTCTGTTTAGTGGATGTTTTTTTTCAAATTTGCAAAATACATAATTAGTACTAGTTAGCATATCATTCTGTTTTAATCATTCTACTTACAAATGACAAACACAAACTTACTACTTCTTCAATTTATTTCCACTGAAAGCAACAGATAAACAAGCTTTACAACAGGAAATAGCACAAACATTTGTAAATATTTTAAGATGAAAAGTGCTTCAAATTACAAACTTTACAGTATACAGACTTTTCTGCTAATTTGCAGGCACATATGCTAGCTTTAACATTTTAACTGGCATAACAGCACAGAAATTAACAATTTAAAGATTGCATTTAACACAAACTAAATTTGCTTTGAATGCTTTTATGCACAAATTATAAACAAAAGGGTTGATTTGGACACCAGATTCCATAAACATTTAAATCTAAATATTAAAATATAAACCTTTTAATTTTAAAACCTTTAACGGTAACTCTTTATAATAACTACACACTACGAATCATTAGCAAAGCATTAACAAATAGTTAATTATCTGCTAAGCAGTAACTCTACATTATTAGACGTTAGTAAGCACTTTATAAATACAGCTACAAATGCTGTTATAAGCTCAAAATGTGCTTAATGATTGTATTTCATACTTTGCTTTTTATTAATTGTTCCTTACTGAATTCAGTATTGCATTATTTACAAACCATTTGTATTTAAGTGTAGCTGGTGGTTTTTAAGATCATTTAGCCTGAGTTAGTAAATTATTAATGGAACTATTCAAATTAACATTTATATATCTTATTACTCAGGCATATAGTAATGGTTACTATGTATGTTAATAAATGCTTTATTGACTCAACTTCATCCATTTTTGTGACCTTATCTAAAGTGAGACTATTTTTGCTTTAAAAATCTTTTATAAATGACAATTAAAAGGTGGGTATCAAATGAACTATAAATGTTTGCAATCTAATCTAAAAAAATAAAATTACTGTAAACATTAAACATCGCCGAATAACAGAAATGTTAAAATACAATTAGCAATAAATACAATTGAATAAAATTGGATAAAACAATATATTATGATATAACATTTCAGTGTTATTTAGCAAAGTTTAAACTGTACAGTAACTTTATTTTAGATAGGGTTGCAAAGATTTTTCTTTCATTTGATAGTTTCATTTGTGTATCAATAAATAAATAGAAATGAATGAAATAGTTCATGCTCTTTTTCCCTGTTCGGAATATAACTGAGCCTTTAATTGTCATTTATAAGGGATTTATAAAGCATAAATAGTCCTCACTTTAGGTCACAAAACTGGATGAAGTCGAGTTAATAAAGCATTTATTCATATATAAATAAACTAATAGTATATGCCTGAATAATAAGATATATGAATGTTATTTGAATAGTTTATTAATAATGTACTTTCACATTCTGAATGATCTGGAAAAAACCACCACCTATTCTTAAATAACTGGTTTGTAAATAATGCAATACTTATGTAATGAAAAAAGAATCATTAACAAAGTATGAAAATGCAATTAATTACAATTTAAGAATATAGCATTTGTGGGTGTATTTATAAAGTGCTTATTAATGCCTATTAGAGTTAATACTTAACGAATAATGAACTAACTATTTGCTAATGCTTAACAAATTATTCATAGTGTGTAGTTATTATGAAGTGTTACCCATTTCAATGAACACAGTGCCTAAACAGTGGCTCTCATGAATCAGATTTAGTACTCAAATTGTACATTAGGTCTTTGTAACATCAGACCATTGACACAACACTGTTTACAGTATTAGTTTAACATCTTGTTTTTAAGAGAAAGCACACGTTGCGTACATCCAGTCCCAAGCTCCATAAAAACATTCTGAATTGTGTCAAAAGTGTACCGGAGTTCTTTGGGATAGGAAAAGTTGAGTGCATAAAGAAGGCCAAAGAGGTATGCTACAGCACTTGAGGTATCTGGAATGTCTTCCTAAACAACAACCTCTTCCAGTACAACAGCAATGTTCTGGATCATCTTCCGTAACATAGAGAATGACAATTGATACGCCCTTTGTTCCATCTTCAGTTTCCTGTGAAAACACAATAAGAATATTTGAGCATAGAAAGTCATTATAGTACTTTATCTACAAACAAGCAAGATATTATATTGCAAGTAGGGCTGTCATGCTTATTAAATTTAGGTGACGATTAATTGTCAAATAAAATATTTTGATTAATGGTGATTATAGAGATTTTAAAAAATTAGCAAGTAATTGTTTATCATAGGGCTATAACAACACAAAATTTAAATAATTGTAATAAAGTTATTTATTCAGTTAAAAATATATACCGTTATCTTTCAGAAATATGAACATTCTGTAAAAATAACAAACCAGCATAATACAATGACCATGCAAACTTAATTGCAGTTAAGCAAAATGACCAGTTACATCAAATAGTTATGATCATAAAACTGCTATGTGTAGTTTGTCTGTAGGAAGACATAGTGTTATAATTCAAATCATTAAGCAAAAGTGAATGTAACAATTAAACAGACAACATGTAAATAACAAGGAGCCTAGATCTACAAACGCATAAATCATCAGGATTTATATATATTAATGCAGTAATTGGAGTTTAAATAAATAAGTGATTTATTTTAAAATACCGTCATAAATGAATAAATAAATAAATGCTGATATGTTGTACTCTGAATACAACAACTGCCATTTTGGTTGACAATAATAATGTCTTAGACTCTCGGCACAACTCTAATTTTATGTAATAACAGAAAAAGCAATAGTTTCTCTTGCATCTCTTTTACATGTTCTTTCCCTTAACTACCTGCATAATTCAGTGAGCAGGTCTAACCTGGTACTAATATAGAACCTGATATCAATCTTTTAAAAATAACAAGATACTTGTGAATCATGAAATTTACAAGACACGTTTATACGTAAATTTACTTCTTATACCTTAAGGTCAGAAGATTTGTAATTTCTGTTAATGATACCTAAATTAAACATTTTAACTCAGCTAATCAAAATTTTCATGAAAGCTCCAAATAGATTGGCACTCAACTTTTCAAGACACCAGCAATACAGAAGCAAGTTTGGACACTCATGCTTTAAACCATTTAAAGTGTTTGATACCTACTTTACATTTCTTGAAAAGGTTAGTTTGTTTCTCTCGAAGAAACAAAGGCAGGCCCTCCAAAGCAGCAGTCCTTCTGTGATTAACAATTTCTGTTGTCTGCAAAAACATAAAAAAGATTCAACCAAAAAGTCACAGAATGAAATCTGAAATATCATCAACTACATAGATCAAAAACATGTAAATAATGAAAATTATTAACTTGCCCTTTCATCAATTCTTTCCAGGAGCTCTTCCATTTCATGTCCAAACGCTCCTTTTCTGGCTCTGTATAATTTCAGAAGCTTTGGTGTGTACTTGTCAGTGGCTGCCATGAAGACTCCTAGAAGGTCTTTGTTGGTGATGCGGAAAAATTCCTCACAGATCTTTTTAAAACAAACCAACCAGATTTACTGCAATCATTTTTTTCTGTAAACAGAGCATCTTGCATTCTGTAAACTTAAAGCCTAATAAGAAAGAAAAAAAATATCTTTACCTGTTCTTGAAAAAAGAGTGTAGGCCACCTCTCCTGAACCTCTACAATCATTGGCTGCTCTTGGACCATTTTTTTTCTTCTAAGGGAAAATGTTAGTTCCATTTTTTCCCTCATGGCTGCCATGTCTCTTCTGCATTAACTTCTTTACGTTTCAGATGATTTTGTAGTTGGAGAAAAAATCTTTTTTCAGTACAAATCTCATGAAATTCACATAGTCCACAATTAAAAGTTGAAAGATCTCGACTGACTATCAGTGTTGTGGTGTGATTTAGATAAGTGGGATCGTAAAGTACCTGCAGTTTTAAAAGCACAAACACACTGCGTGTAAAGACAGGGCCAGTTGGAAATTCTATGATGATGTAGCTGATAGTGCTTCAGAAGGACATCTTCACTTGAAGTGCTGAATTTGCAGTTTTTACACTGCATGAAGTCTTGAGGAGATCATCCTGAAAACAGAAATAAGCAGTTACAGTATAACCTTGTATTGTTAAATCACAACTTTAAATAAAATATAATTCTTACAAAAATATATTTGAAAAAGCTACACATTTAAAAGTTTTAAACATTTTTCAAGTTTATGCCCCCATATTTTAACATGAAACATGTTTGGGAGCAGACAATGATATTAATATCAATATATGATATTGATGTATACAGAGGAGTCCACAAATAATGTAATATAGTTAGTAATAATATATGCTTTGAAATTAAGACTACTTTAAACCTAATAGGAACTATTTATATTAATTTGACAGGATTAAATCATGTTTTAGGCAATATTTTATAAATAAAAAATATAAACTACATTTACATATTACTTTATCTAATATAATTTGAATATCCGTGCTTTATATATGCGTCACAAATTTATAAGTACAACTTACGGTCTCTCACTCGCTCTTAGTAATGGGAAGTTCGGATCATATTACTTATTTGGACCTTTGAGTCTCGTTCGTTGAGATGAACAAATCTTTTTTTCAAGTCATTTCCATCAATTTGCCAAAATATTATTAAAATGATACAAGTTATTCCAAACGCATCCACAACTAACGTTAGCCCAGACGTTGATCACACTACAAACAAGTCATAACGTGAATGCTATAAGAAAAGTCTTTTGTCTATGATTATGTGAGCTCAGCTCTTCTGACAGGTCTTCAAATTTGAGGGGTTCGTCTACGTCACACAGACAGACCCATATAAGCTTAACCAAAGCACAGTCTGAACCGAAAGGAGCCATTAGTTCACCTTTCGAGTCATCTGGTTTTTGACTCGTTCGTTCATCACGTGACAGCATGTTAAGAGAGATGACTCAACGCCGAGAACTCGAAAGGTGATTTAAAAATTTTTCCGGCTCTGATTGCATTTCATTGCCTTATGTCTTTAAAGTGATGAACGAATGACTTTAACCCGATAGAGGACTCGATAAATGAACTAATCTTTTCCTCCACCTGCACAAATGTGCGCATGCGCGAGTGAACAAATCACTCCCAGAGAGGACTCGTCGTTCTCGAGTCATACAAAAGATTCGTTCAAAATGAACGAATCGTTTAAGAACGAATCGTGCATCACTAGGCGGTGCACACACAGAGAAAAGCACGTAAAATGAGAAAAATATGAAAACTCGCCAGAGAAATGAAAACGTTTCACCTAAAAACAAACAAAACCTCTGAATTCCCTAACGTAAATGTGTTAATACTATGGTACCAAATTAACGTTAGCCATCTTTTATCAGTGATTAACAGTTAAGCATAATGATGTCATTTTAGTGTTAACATGAAACATTTTAAACTTAAACGGCACAGAAAAGCAGTTTCCGTTTTTTTTCCAAGTAATGTCTTAAGGAGCGGCACAAGCTTAACTGGCGTTAGGCAAACGACGACCGTGCCGACCTCACAGTCCTCCGCCCTCTCGAAGGTGCGGGCGTGGGCGGGAAGGATGTCACGCGGGGTCTCCATGCCTCCCTGAGCGATTAACTCTGCCTAAATCCGCCACTCATGTCATGAATACACGGAAACATTTATGAGTTTGGACTTAGCTGAAACTATAGACCACATTAATTACCCACTGCATTTGAAACTTAAGCATATGCAATAATTCTCGTCGCTAAAAACAAACCGTCAGGTAGTGAATATAGTAAAATTCATTGCATGCATAGAATTAGTGTTAATAAGTGTTGTTACTCACCTACAGGAACAAGTTAATTTTTAGTTCTTCGAAGAGTCGAAAATATCTGTGAAGTCCGATATGGCACCAAGACAAAATGGAGATGAGGAGCGAAACGAATGGTCCATATGGGGGAGGGTTGGCGCCGTTTTCAAACGTCGCGTCACGCATGCGCAATTTATTTAAATATCAACATACCTGTTCAACACAAAAATGTATGTCCAGAAAACTCTGGTAAACATGTAGACATAACATTTTAGCGAATATTATTGACATAACATATATTTTTATGTAGATCAGTAGTTATTCACAATTCTTAGTATATATGACAGAAAAAGTACAGTGAGCTGAACAAATTGAGATTTTATTTTTTACAGTGCACTTTCATAGTAGGAAAAATTCAAATACCGTGGAATTCAATGGTTCTAGTTTTCCAGCTTTCCTCAGAATATATTCTTTGTGTTCATCAAAATAAAGCAACTCATAAAGGTTTTGGACCTGTAAATAGTAAGTAAATTTCATGTTTGTGTGAAATTATATAAACTGTTAGTATAAACTGTTTAAGGTTATATTGAAAAAAAAATCATACAACAGTAAGTGAGACAAAACCATTTTTAGGATGGATATCACTGGAGGGTAGAAACTGAAAAAAAACGTATTATTTTATGTCATGAATCCGTGATCCGTGAATCCGTCATGATACCGTTTGTCAGCTACTGTTTAACATTTTTGCCATTGTTTGAAAAAGGTGTTCAGTGAAAAAAGTGGTTTTATAAGCCAAGTAAAACAGACAACATTTATCCCAATATTGATGCTCATTTCAAACACACTGAAGTATATTTTGTGACTTTATCTTTGAAGTTACAGCTATGTAGGTTCGTTGAGTTGAATATCATGCTAGCTGGCAGTATTTTGGATCAGATCTGGAAATCCATTGACTCCATGTCAAGTGATTGTCATCAGAGAATTATGAGGTTTGACCTTCTCAGTTTGAATTTGTGCACTGAAATAAGCTATTCGACGCCCCAGCAAACAAATTCTACATTTTTACACACGCCTGCCTACCAGGAAGGGAAATTTGTTATGGGTAAAACAAATTAGTTTACCCTACTTTGCTCTTCATTTAATCATCCCATTATTCCAAACCTGTATGAGTTCTTCTGGGAAATGTAAAAAGCAAATAGTTCAAACTAGGGCAGGGCGATTTAACAAAAAAAAAACTTGCATTATAATTTAAGTAATCTTATATCCTGATAATTATATAATATAGTACCAATTAATAATTTATATAATTATTATTTATAGTTCATGTATATATTAACCACATGGAAGGGACACATTCATACATGATTTAAATTTCTCACTATAATGAGAACTTCTTTGATTTAAGAATGTTGGAATACAAATACAAAATATTAATACGAATCAATGATCAAAAACTAATGGTTACAGGCTCTATATAAAATATTACTAAATAAAATGCAAACATTGTACTGTAAAGTTTACAACTTTTAACCATGCTGTCAGTCATGTTTCTGTGCATCCCCATATAGTGGCATGTAAGATTACGCTCATTCATATGACAAACATACGGTGGCCGAGAGAGTGTGAGAGAGAATGTGGTGCCATTTAAGAAAACACGTGCAATTGCAAAAAGCGCCAGCAAATTAAGAAAAGATTTTCCGCCGTTTGACAGCACACCTGCTGCAAAACCTCACAATGTATACACATTAAAAATGCGCAGCATCTTCTCATAAAGCAAACAATTTACAAAAACGTGCTGCATCATCTCAAAACACTTGCAAAAACAAGGCAACACAACAGAAATTTCAAGGGGACCCTAAAACGTGACGGATGCTGCTGCCATGACTTCTGCTCAGTAAAGTTGCAGGTGATCTTTGAAAGGGGAGTTTTTTATTTTATTATTACATTTTCCTAAAACCCTAAACTCAACCTTCACAGTAATGTCAAAACAGTAGTTGTACAGAGGAGTATTTATGCTATTTATTAAATTACCCAATAAGTTGTATTTTATTAACGCCTACCCCACCCTAACCCAAACCCAACCATAACTGCAAAAATGTTATTGTTATACAGTGCTACAAAAATTATGCTACATTGATGTGTGTTTCTGCTGCTGTATCTTATCTAAATAACTATAACCTAAATAGCCAAGTCCGTCATGTTTTAGGGTCCTCTTGAAACATTTGTGTTATGTTGTGAGCTATTTAAAGTGTTGTGTGAAAATGAAGCGCATTTTTGTAAATTGTTTGCATTGTGAGAAAGTGCTGCACGTTTTATTATAATTGTTTGCGTTGTGAGAAAATGCATCGTATTTTTTATGTGTATGTCTTGTAAGGATTTGTGAACAGATGAAGGTTTTTTTTCCCTAATTTGCTGCCATTTTTTGTAATAGTTTTTTTGTAAGTGTTTTCTTACAAACACTTATTTTCCAGTGTTTTTCCAAAGTACACTATAAAATAAATGATTGAAACAGTAGACTTGCTTTATCCATATTATATATGGTTACCACTAATGTTTATAGGAAGCGCATTTATTTCAAACTGTGATCAAAACTGACTGGAACTACCTGTGTGTCATTGCACACCTTCCAAAATCTAGAATTTCAGCAGAGCATAACATGTCTATATCTAAACGTCTTCCATTGTATAGACAAAAATAAACACTAAAATCATCTTTTATGTTTCACAAAATAAAGAAAGAAAATCATAGAGGTAAGAAAGAGAAGGCAATCTAACAGCAATAGTCTTCAATTATGACAGAATTTACACTTTGAGGGTAAACTTAGTTGAACTTTTTATATTATAAAAGCCCAATAGAGGTACACAAAGAAACAACTCTCAAGAGTATCAAAATATGAGAATGATTTCATAAAACGAAA